AGCATTTTCTAATCATCTAACTGATCTATCTCTCAATGAAACTCTTGGGGAATCATCGACGAAAATATTTACCACTATATTCTTTCAAAAGTTTCTCAAACATTCACCGAGCCTCTGCGATGTTTTGATTTTGCTAGTTAAGCTGAGACAAAATTTCATATATTTCGAGTGGGCGCACCTTAAAATAAGGGTACATAATTAATCATGGATATATGGATCCAGAAATAAGAAAATATTTTTCGACTTAGTATGGAGCTTTGGCCGCCACCTGCAGCCCAGAAAGTTATTACTGTCAGTTTGGATCAATCAGCCACGGTAGTCATCTTGGAGCCAGTATGTTTGTGAGATACATTTATTTTACCACAACCAAAGTTATCGGCCAACGTGTATTTACGGGGACTTTGCCATCACATAAGTGCCTGTATGTAAAACTTTCTGGGCAAACTTGCAGCTTGAGCTAGAATGCAACAAAGATCACCGCTGCTAACCAATCAACGCATTTAGCTCTTGTTCACCTATTGGCCTTTCCGATTGAAGCGCGCATGTGACGTTCAGCCAAATACACACACAAACACATACATATACACGCGGCATACATGCACATATCGATTTTGTATGCAAAAGAGTAATCCGGTCATGTTTACAAAACACCAACAAACAATGGTGGCGGATAAGCGCTGAGAGTCCTATCGGTATTTCTTTTATTGCTTGTACACGCGATTTCAAAGCTATTTATTTCGAACTTTTATACCGGCAACTGTTGTTGTGAATTTATGCGATTTTTACTGTTTGCGCTTAAGTGTGGAAAGTCGCTTGCATATGCCTGAATGTAATTTCGCTTAAGCCGCTTGTTTGCGTTGCAACATTTCCGCTAAATTGCGCACCCACACACACAAACACATACACTGCAACTGTCACACATACAATTACATATTGGCAGACGCTGTAGGAGTTTTTATGCATTTGCTTGTAGCACTTTTAAGTTTTATATGGAAACCAAACATATTTATGCCGAGCACGAATTGTATTGCAGAGCCGTGGCTGGTGTAGTCTCGCGCACTTCGTGACCTCCGCTTTGCATGTATGCAAAGATTTACAAGGAAGTGCCTTTTATGACCTGAAGTGATTTCCAATTCTTGATTAAGACTTTGCAATTGTTGTAAATACGTTTATGTTTATTGGTCTTTGAAGCGTTTTGCCTGATTTTATTTTAGTGTGTTAATTGTTGCTGTAGTTGAGCGACTTTTGAATTTAATGGTGAATAATATGCTTAGAGATTTCACTTGGCGGAAATAAATGTTACCGAGTGGTAATACTGGAGTTGCGTAAGGTAAATATCTTGGCAGAAGTATTTCCATTAAGCACTATTTAAAAATCGTTTATGTAACAAATGAAGTTGTAGTTAAACCTTTTGCTCGAGGATCTTTATATGACAACTTTCGGATATCTCAAAAACTGAGGGGCAAGTTTCGGTATACGATATTTTACAAACGGATATGATTAAATCGACTCTATGCGCTGATGTCACTGATCATTTACATACCCTTTATAGGGTCATCGTTGTTTCCTTCAGGGCCTTCAAGACAAGCTTAACTTAACCCCAATTGCACTTATCAGGACATCAGAAATAAGCTCTTTAATGTGTTTTGATTAGACTTAGAAGAAATTTTTTAGGCCTGAGGGGATACCATGGAAAAAAAAATTTTTTTGACAGAAAAGGATTTATTAGAATTTCAGAACATTCTTCGCATATTTTCAAGGTGCTTGACAAACTGCTACCAATAATGACTCTGTTAGCCGCTGCCCGGATATATTTTTGTTAGAAGCAATGGAAATTGATATTGGCTCAACCACTAAAACACATGTTTCCAAGTAAGTCTAATGGCAAACTGTACATCCGGGTTTTTTTAAATTGTTTACAAATGATTTATAAGGAAAAAATATTTTGCAGACTGAAAATTTTCTTTTACACATATTAATTTAAGCCCTGCCGAGTTTCGAGTAGCTGAAAAACAGCTTAGCAGTCACTGTCCATTTTATGACGCTTGAAAAACCTTTTTGATTTTAATTGGCTAAATCTGTACATCCCTAACTGCTCACTTCTTTCAAACACACACTCACCCCATTCAATCGTAAATTTGAACACTTTGCCAATATTTATGCAAATAATTCCCATATATACAGTTTTTGTCCCTTCTACACAATTAGGTAAGCAATGCGCTTGTTTGCTACGAACCCTTAAATTCTAGCGGAAGCGGTTGATGGGGTTCCAACAAGTTTAACGCCTGCTGAGATTAGACCTTTTGCGCTCATGAAACTTGTGATTTTATGACTTTTGCCATTTCCTGCTTACAAGTTGTTCGCCACGACACAACAATACAAAACGACCGCATAGACACATACACACACATATACATGCAAGTGCATGCAATAGCAAATATAGCAAATGGCAGCAGCAGAAATGTCGCGTCAACCAAACAGCAGCAACAACAACAATGTTGGCAAAATATTCGCCTGCTGGCTTTTGCTGCTCTAGTTGACTTGCAATTTCATTTCGGTGCTTCTTGAAATGTTTTTTCTCTCTTTCGCAATATTTTTTTTTCTTTTTTTTTTTTTGTTTGCTGCAATTTCTTATCTAGATTCATGCTGCCACAACAAAGCGAAACAAAATCCGACCGAAAGTTGCATCAAAAAACATATTTCACATGTTCGTCCCCAAACCACTGCGGCGGCTGCTTTGCCCATGGCATTCAAGCATGAGAGCATTCAAGCATTCATACTCGTTGTACTCGTTGTGCTTGTGCAATCTCATTTTGTTTTCTTTGATTTCAGTTTTGTTGTACAACTTTTTACATACCATACACTTTGGTGTGTTCTGCTTTTGCTCGCTGCTTTTTTCGAATTCCCTCAACAATTTTTACAGTAATTTCTAAACTTCTTCATCGTCAAAATGAGAGAATTGTGTAAGCACAAGAATATTGCCAGATTCTTCACATAAGTTTTGTCGAGCTGTTTCTTTATTCTTCCGTATTTTTTTATGCATTTTACATACATTCTTACGCCGCCACACACCTGCTCCAGTGCCGCAGCTATTGTGTTATAACCGATAAACTTTGAAAATTGGTGGCAAAAAATTGCGCAAATTTCTTACTTGTCTGCTTCTTGCTTTTTAATAAGCATAAAAAAGTTTGACTTCGCCCGAAACTTGAATGTGCAGGCAATTTATAATCTCTCTCCACTTAGTCGCTTGCATTTCAATGCTCACGCCTTCAAGCATTAGCAAAAGTAGTTGGAAAAGTTTTATTACACATGTGAATATCAAGCACACATCCATATATACTTGTACATTTATTGGATATTACAAGCAGTTTAGTTGGAAATTAGAGCAGGTGCTTTAATCACCGGAAAACTTTTATAACTACTAGTAAATTATGTTGTAGTACCAGCAAAAAAGGAAATTATATATTTTATTAAGACACTTAAAAGCTTAGGTCAATAAATTTCACATGCGTGCTTCGGTATAAAAAATATTTCTGAGGAAAAGCATCCATATAAAACCCATTTGCTATTTTTGTAAATAGCAAGGACGCACACCACAAATAGTTAGCAATGACACGCACTTAGAAAATTTTTAAAAATAATTTCAACGCGTTAAGGAACTAGATACAATAGCTACTACGTCTTTAGTACCATGGGTATGGACTAAATATCTGTTTAAATATATATTACTTGTAAATAGTTTTGTAGTATAAGAAAGTCATAAGTAAGAAGACTAATGATGTTTTCTAAACGACTTCGACAGTTACTAGTCACGAGACTTATTGGATTAAAGTTCCCTTTGCATCAAGTAATATCAAAATAATTAAAACTTCAATATAAAATATATACGAAATCATTTTGTCTTCAAATTGTCTAGAGTGCTGCAAACAAATACCTGTAGATTATTTGATAGGATAAATTGGCAAATATTTACAATTACCAAAAGTGAAGAATTCCAGAGGTTTCATCGTGGACTTAATATTTATGAAGTCATTATTGATGTATTTAGCTGGAATTTGGATCCTACTGAGGGCACTCAGCATGGAAGTATGGGACATTTTATTATACATAGCTAAAACAATCATAACAAATCCTCAATTACAAACTATACAAGGACCTCTTAGGCTTGTATATCAGACAGTCTATAAAAGTCTAATCTATAAATTATGATTTTCTTTTCGCTATTTGACGCCAATTCGAGATATCAAGTGCAACCAGGTCCTTCTCCACCTGATATCTTCAACAGAGTAGAAATCTTCCACTTCCTCTGCTTCCACCGACGGGTACTGGACGGGTACTGGTGTTCGGCGATAGAGGAATTTACTTTTCAATTGTCTACTTAGTCCAAAGTACCACCAGTTGGAAGAGTGATTCTGCGTTGGATGTCAAAAAGTAGTTTACAACTAAAATTTATTAAGCTTAGAAAAATCGCGGAACGAGTCAATCGACAAATGTGGAAAACTATTGACCAACAGTGGAATGTTTTTTCTCAGCGAGTTGTTTTCAGGATTCAGAAACAAAAGCATTTATGGTAAGCAGATTCGTTAAAAGTTGGGGTTGTGAAAGATATCTAATCCTATTTTACATAGTTCAGTAGCATCAAATATTTCTATAAATAGTATAGCTACCCAAATTATAGCGTAAAGTAATTAAATTTAGCAAAGTTTTACTGAAATGTCATTTATTTCGTGTTAGAGCACAAAAAATTGCAATAATCATAAAGCTTTCAATAAACCTTTAGTTAAAAAAAAAAAAATTGTTTTGGTAAAGAAAAATAAAAAATATCTATTATTCTCTTTCATCTCCCGATGGACCTTCAGCACAACCTAAATAACAACTTTCTCTTCCTCATACATTATGCTGAATAATGTCTTAATAAAATATTTGACATATCATCTTGTAAACTCATATGTCTTTGAATAAATAAATGCTAAATAAACTACAACTCATTCTATTTGCAGAGCCGTCTTCATAGCAGACCAAAGATTTCTGGCGCTAAAGCAACCGGACAAATTCTGGACGCTGCAAATAAAATACGTACAAGCAAGAGATGCGGGCGCCTACGAGTGTCAAGTGTCAACGGAGCCAAAAGTTAGCGCCCGAGTGCACTTGCAAGTGGTTGGTAAGTTGCAAACAACTTTCATTTTATTGCAGCAGCGACGAGGGCGGCGCTGGCAACGGTGGCAGCGGCAGCCAAAACTTATGCAATTAAGTGAAGGAAAGCAAAAAGCTTGCGGCCTTAACCATTGAGTCTAAGTCAATTCTAAGCAAACGAGGCGTTCTAGAAAAGGTTAAGTGTGGTTTCAGTACACAAACACATGTTCACCTGTGATGTATGTGTTGTTGTTATCACTTTTGTTTTGTCACAAGCGATTTGTTTCTATGTTGCTGTGATACTTTCTTACACAAAAATGCACTTGAATATTTATCAGCCCTTGAGTACACATATTATATTTCCAGAGTTAATCGCTAAGTTTGCAACCAGCGGAGAACTGAGTCCCCAGCGAGGGCAGAATGGATTTCGGTTGTGTGCAGCTAGTTTTATTTGGTTTTAGTTTTCTCGAGTAATAGATGTATTCAACTAGTGACTCAGTTAGCTCTCTGTGCCTAAGACGCCAGATCAAGAGTAACGTCTTGACAAGATAAGACCTTTGCCTCGTAGCCTCGTAGCATTCACAGAAATTATTGATTGTGACCCTTCTGAATTGACGTCGTGAGTTCCAGCGCCTAAATTTGGACTTAAGTTTGTACCATAACGCTTTCGGTGATTAGCCGTAATCCAGTTCCTCAGCTTTGAGAGATCGATCTGAAATATCGCACCTATCTACTATTACAGCAAATAACTACCGTGCACGACGAACAATCGGAATCAAGTGCATGCAAAACTTTCTGATTTGACGAAATATTTTTAAGAATTTGGCATATGTTCTTACCCAAGTCTACAATAACGATCCACAGAAATTGTTCAGATCAATTAACACTAACATAATGCTGTCATACAAACTTACCGTTCAAAGTTCTTGAAAGGAACCTTTTGTAATTAAAGGGTATTCTGGCTTTGCCTTTTTTCATATTTCACTAAAATTGCAGTCCTCTGTTGTTACCCAACTACTTCGTCACATACATATGTACATATGTGTGAACCCGCAGCGCCAAACTCGCACACACAAGTCGTCACATCTATTCATTCACAAGCCCAAATGCGCCGGCATTGCGGTGCCATGCATTTAAATTTACTTTGAGAATTTAATTTTAATTGTGGCTAGAATGTATTGAAAAGTCAGAGTCCAACTGCCTAACGGTCATGACAAAGAAACTTTTGCATAGCCAAAAGCTTTTAACAAGAAAACTTTTCGCTGCCCCTGACGGTTAGGAATTTAATGGCAAATACAAGAATGTCTTATTTAGTTCGGCTTCGGCAGAAGTCGTGGCTTGGGTGGGTCATACATATGCATGTATATGTTGGCGTGTGTGTGTGGGTGCGTGTGGCTCGCAGTAAAAACATACAAGCACACATATGTCTTAAGCATCTTCGCTTGATGCTGTGGACTCAGCTTCGCAGTTACCTAATAACAATATAACAAAAGTAAACGACAACACATACAAATAAATAAAGAAGGGAAAAATGAATGAAAGTTCAACTTCCAACTAATAGTTGGTCATGTGTGAAAAGTACAAGTGTTGAACGCTTCCAAAGTTTCCTCAATATATATTTTCGGGCAATGCTTGAAGTGGGTGTGTCGCTGTCAGTAGTTGTTCCGATAATTGACTTTTAGTGGTTTTTCGTAGAATTTCAAAATTACAGTTATTTTGTTAAATATTTGCGTGTGTTCACCAAAAAGTTTTGAAAGTTATTCCATGTTGAATAGTAAAATGCAAGCGTGTGTGCTCAATGTGCCGGAAGCCGGCACTTAACTCATCATTATATATATTCTTGTGGATATGTGGCTTCACGGTTATACTTTACTCTGTAATATAATAAAAATAATTCCTCAAAAAGATATGGAAATCCAAACCCACTAATTTCACTTTGCTCTCACAATATTCCGCCCCTAATAAGTTTAATACATTTATTCCTAACTAAATCTTTACTTGCTAGCTCCAATATATTTTTCAACTTTATTAATTTTTTTTTTATTGAGTAATTTTCAAATTTCACTATTTGATTTTTATTTTATTTCCGTTTATTCATTGCGCTTTAATATTATCATATTTCCGGTCACGTAATATTCTTCCCAATACATACAATTATGCCCATACATGCTTTAGACAGCTCTATGTGTGACCGAAACAAATGAGCCGAGGAAAATGTGCTGTAAATGACAGAAACGCAAATACTTAGGTAATTTGCTCGCAAATGAGGCAGGGAAAGCACGTAAGCCGGCCGAAGATCAGCTCTGCCGAAAGCGCACACACACTGAAAATAAAAGCAAACATATGCAAAAGAAATCGAGCGGAAATACTAGATTTAACATTGGCTCCTTAACAACAATAACAAACGATTGAATACAGAAACGTGTACGCGTGAAGCTGGTGAAACATACAAAAGGAGGGTCCCAATGACAAAACGATGGCTACAAATGAAAATGCACCTATTCGACGATTGGGGGAAAGTTGATGGGAGTATGCGTAAATGTAGGAGGGGTTCATATTTGTATTGGTTCGTTTTTATTTTTTTATTTTTTATTTTATTTTTATTTTTTTGTTTTTTATGCTTCATGTCAAGTTTTCAGGAAGAGAGGGAAAACTTCAACATTTCTGGTGTACCAAAACACCGTTTAATTATTAAAAATGAATACTCGAAAACAATATAAACGTAGCTGTAACCTTCGAAACCCTTTAAAGTGTGATTGAGTGATTTCTCCAGAAGTTGAAAAGAGAAGAAGCGCAAAATCATTGCAAGAGCACATTTGCACACTAGTTAGTTGAGAGTGCATAAAATATACAAAATTCTCGAATAGAGCTTTGAGTATAGAGCGAAACCCTAAGTAAAATTCTGCGTTCCGCATGAGTAGGGGTTTTACTGGATATATGCCATTCATGCGATACATCTAACAAACCTGACGGACGCAAATTGTAAAACTTGTTTGGAGGAGAACGAGGCGGAAAAATACAGGCATTTATCCCTGCATTGTCCAAGCTTTGCAAAACTTAGAATGGAGCTTCATGGAAGCCTTACCTTCGGTGTCTTCTGCATAGCCAATACTGACATTGGCTATCGCAACAACTTTCTGAAAAGCTTTGTCGAAATGTAAGGGTCTCATGATAAATTATATTGTGACAAAAAGGTACCAGGAAAATGTAAATAATATGTAATGCACTTATGCTGACAATTTCTCCAGTTCTCGAAACACTTTTCATAAGCATCCCAAAAGGAAGCAATTTTGTTTTATCTCTTCTATCGACTATGAACGTGTTCCACGGAATTGAAATTTCAGTTTGGAGAACAAGAAAAAATCACACGGATCTCTCGGCCGTCTTTGAAGTCGTTGCATTACTCGTAGGCTTGTTTTTGATCAAGCTGTAATACCGTAAGGCTTTTTCAACATTCGCAACGATTTTGCACACGAAATTTTGTGACAAATATAAAATTTGAGACAAATTTTTTGTTCGATATTTTTATCCATTGTAAAAATCGCAGCGAACTTTTGATATGTACCGACTTAAGCAGCTGCTGTAAATAAACTGGTTGACAGATGAGAGTTTGCTATAATAATTAAGAACAGTCCTACCAACTTAACAAAATACAGTTTTTTGAAATATCATTTACCCGGGTAATTTAATTACAATTTTCGGTTGCTTTTTTTGCGCGATGCGCGATGCGGAGTTTCAAGTAACACAACAGACCGGCATTCTAAGCTGTCCAATCGACTTTTTAGCCTATCCTAAGTGAGACCTCTGTTAGAATCGGCGTCTTATTTAACCTAATAAGCGAGATACTTGTTAAGATCGATGCCTTAACATAAATCATTGAGACTTGTGTCACATGCCCATGTTATCCAAAAATATTACAAGTATTTGTGAAATTGGTTGGAAGTATCAAGCTACGCAATTGTGTAGTAAATTATGTTGAAAGGCTACGGCGTTATTGTGAGCGGTTGGGCGCTAAAGATGAAACATTATTAGCTTTATAATAAATAAATATCTCCGCAAAATTACATTAAAATTATTTTTAGTAGAAAATTTATAACTAAGATAATATAACCTCAGTTTTGCGAAAAATTTGTTCCAATCATTTTAGTCCTTTGTTCTTTTCTTATAATAATTGCGGCAATGAAGTTTTAAGGTTAGCTATTAAAAATCCAAAAAAAGAAAAAAAATAATTTTTTATGGCTTATTTCTTATTTTATTTCTTCTAATCTTTATGTAAATTGCCGGGAGTACATCACTTGTTTTGAACACAAGAACATTATGAATAAATCTAGCCAAGAGATGAGACCGTAAATATCTAAGCTAGTTCCTTCCGAACTCTAATTGTTTTGTATTATTTGCCTTGATTGTATTAACTTGAAATAGGTTAGATATATAGCATAATACTGGAAAAACGCCTGAAAATGTAGAAAAACGTTTTCCTGTTGGGTGTTGGGTACTTTGAATATTTTCTGTCAACTGCTTGTTCTGTTGAATTCCGCAGTCATTCTGGGCTGTAGATAATGCGAGAACAAAGCAATGCTTATCACCACAAGCATACCTATACACACACACTACTTAAATTATTATAGAGGTTTGTACGGATATATAGGTATGAATAGTTGAAAAGCAAACAGCGTGTGGTCGTTGCGACAAGCTCTTTGTCGTTGTAAATGGCAGCGAGCGGCACAATGTATATTAAAGTGTATTTTTTCCGCGCACAACATGTGCGGTGCTCCGGAGAAAATGTCGCAAAAAATGCAAATATGATAATGACAACGGGCTATGCGGCGCTGAATAGCAATGCTGCTGCCGTGAATGGCGAAAAAAGGACAAAGCGGAAATTCAATTTGTATGTCGGAAGTGTGAAGTGATTATGCGGATTAAGCTGCGCGACGCAGCACGGGCCACGTGATTATAGGTGTTAAATAAAAAGAAAAAATTATCGAAAACATTTGTTGTTTTTCCACTTTCTAAAGAGGGAAAAGGGAATTGCACATATATGAAATATTTGTGCGTTAAACGATTATTAACACATAAATAATTTTAATTAGCCGCAAAAGCCGCTTTACATCGTTATGTAAAGCTGACCGTTAGTCTGTAAACACGCGAATTAATTCCACAGTTTTTGAGATATAAGTCATGAAATTCTGCACACGCTCTTTTGCCACCAAGTAACTGCTCAATTGTTGAAACCGCGCATATCGGACTACTATAGCATATAGCTGCTATACAAACTGAGCGAGCGAAAGCAAGTGCTTGTATAAAAAACTTTCTTATGAGATGAGATATCTTCAAGAAATTCGGCATAGATAATTGTCCAAGACAATGGTATAATCTGAAAAGAAATTGTTCAATTCGAGTCACTATAGCATATAGCTGCCATACAAAGTGAGCGATCGACAGCAAATTCTTGTGAGGAATACTTTGTAGCTATGAAGAGTGTTATAGCTTCAGTTGAAAATTGATTTTTATCATAAACTTCAACTTTGGCATGAACAAGTTTGAACTTAAAACATGATGTTCTCGCGGTCATTTTCCAAAAAGGTATTAAATTTCAGTTCAATGGTGGTTAACTAACATCGTCAGCCTGGCAAATAATAAAATTGGGCCATTGGCTGGAAAAATATCACTTACAGATAGAGAGTAGAGGCATCTCAGTAAGATCGAAGGGCAGCTAAAGTCATGTACCAAAAAAGCTGTGTCAACCATCATACGAAGTCTTATTTTTAGCTGTGTTTTATACAGACTGATGATGGCGTTGGTCCTAAATGTCAAGCAAACTGTTAAGTTTCAAACTTCGCGATAATCACACCAACAGTTTCAAACAGAGCTTCCTTGGAGCTTCGTACAAAATTTTACAATACATACATTCTAATGCAGCACCATTGAGTTTTGATAGACACCAACTGTCGAGATTTCCAGCCGTAGAGCGCTGTTATTGTTAAAATAGGAGATCGAAACCAATACCAACACCTGAAACACCCTATATACATATACTTACTGACATCATGCTTGTGGCACCAGTGTGCTCAAGCAGATTGATATAAACTACAACCAATGCAAGGCGAGGTATTCTAGATAGCGAAACGCACACGCAAACACACATATATGTACATATATGAAACGATTTGTTGTTGCGCACGTGAGCAAGGCAAATTTGGCATTCACGTTGTCTTCTCCGTTTTGCTAGTACGTGTTAATGCCACAGCTGCTATTCTACGAAAAGGATTTCACTTGCGCATTCGTAACAGCTGCGTTTCGCTGCCGTAACGTTATGCCAACTGATTGCTACAGCCACATTGCAAATGTGAAATCCTCGAAATCTTCATCCATTTTTATTTCTCGCAATTGAGTTACTACACACCCCCACACACGCACATACACATATATGTATATGTAATATATTTATTTATTCGACAAGTGTGTGTTGGCAGAAAAGTTTTAGAAATACACATGTAACACCTCATCGAACATGCGGCCTTCCGCGTGTGTGTGTGTGTGTGTGTGTGTGTGCACAACCAGAAGCATACTTACTTTTGTGTATTTGTGTGGTCGTGGTACGTGTCCTACCTGCCAGGCAGTTCTTAATTTAGTTTATTGCTTCACATTCAATTGTTATAAGTGTGACAAGCTGCTGTCGCTGTCGCTGTCGTTGCCGTTGCCGTTGCTGCCATTGCTCACCTGTATTTTTCTCGAAATTATTCTCCTCAGCATTTCTATGATTGCAAATACAAATATTTCGCACTTATATTTACAATACTTGCGTGTCTCTCTATTTCTAGTGCCACGCACCGAAATTGTCGGCGGACCAGAACGCTTAGTGAAGGCTGGCAGCACTGTCGTGTTGCGCTGTATCGTTCGCGGTGCCCTGGAGCCGCCCACCTTCATCATGTGGTACCATAGTACGGAGCAAATCACCAGCGATTCAACACGTTATCGCACACAAGTTGACCGAAATATACCCGAAATCGAAGGCGATGCCCATAGTACGGTAAGTGTAGTAGCAGCGCTACCTTATACAAATTTGTTAAGATGTTTAAGACTACAGCGTCATAGAAGGTATTCTATAAATCTCTGAAAGGCGATGCTCTAAATCGTTTTGATTACGATTCACTACTTCATATTATAATCGTATTACATATATGTAGCATAAAATGTTTAGCTTCCGTTGTCAGATATAACCATTTTATAACCGAAACTGAAATTTGTTTCAATATTAGTTCTTTCTATTATATCGTTTTTCATTCGCCTGTAAACTTATAAAAAGTGATGTTACGTTATTTTGCATATTAGGTGACGATATACATATACTTCCAACTTTATGGGCTAGCTCTGGGACAATGCAAAATATTTCATAAATCAGTATAAGCATTACCGCAGACACCCATAAAATATTGAGCTATCTTTGTAGATATTTCTTTTCAGCTGAGAGCCAACATTAAAACACACAATATGTCACCCTTATATACCGATATTTTCTCGCTACCTCTCTAGGAGTAATTTTTTGAGTAGGCAATTTAATGGTAATCTTTTTCAACCATCTCAGGTAGCTCGATATTAGCCTCATAACTGGAAAATAGCAATACTTTCATATATATGTAGCATATGGCAGTATCGATGACGTTGGCGGAAAAAAGTCAGAATATATAATAGTTATAAAGTTTTGAAGACAACAGCACTAACTTCAGAGCATTTAATAAATTTTTTTTGTCATTCGCGGGTTTCCTCAGATAAAAAGGTAAAAAACAGCCTCTTTTCACAAACTTTTTTGTCATATAAAAAACTAAATATTTTAATATAACAAAACATACACTATTACAAAGAAATTCTTAAGTTTTTTGAAAAAAAAAAATTTAAACTCGATGCTCCCGCGTTGCAATCTTGACAACCGACTTCAAAAACTCAGTTTCAAGAAAAACGCGTTTAAAGACGGCACGCTAGCGTAGCCAGCCTCGAGCGCAAAAGTTCTCCGAAACTATTACTTGGATATACTTGAAAATTTAGAACAATATTCTGGAGGGGATGTAGAATTTAATAAGAATAAAAAATGACTACTTTTTGTAGCCCTTAAACCCATGTAGTCCCTTAATCGTCAATATTATCATTACTCAAAAAATGTATATGATTGCTAACAAATATTTTGTGTTTTGACCTAAAATCTTAGTTACACAGAGCACTGAAACTTACATATATAAAGTGCGTTCCAAAGTATACAGGGATCATTTTGAATCTACCGCCCACTGGTAGCGCCAGCTATGTTGACTGATGCGTTGGAATCTGCTATCTTTATCAATTGTGCAGTGAAAATTTCATGACATTTCATTGATTGGAAGTGATGCTATTGCCTTTTAAGTGTCAGTATGCTTGTGTTATCGGTGCGAAAATGTGCTTCGAACAAAGAGCCAACATTGAAATTTTGTTATAAAATTGGTAGAAATTTTACCGAAACTTTTCAATTGATGAAACAAGTTTATGGCGATGATTGCCTACACCGTAGCAGAGTGCACGAGTGGTTTCAACGTTTTCAACAACGTGGTCGTAAAGACAAAATGACAATGATCAACATGTTGGCCAATCAAAATCCCTGATCACCGGAAATTCCATCGAACTGTGCTTGAATTCACCAAAAATCAGACGAAATCATCATTTAAATTCATGGAAATGAAATTGAGCATCTCCAAAACATCGATTTATCGCATTTTAACCGAACATTTTTGCTTACGAAAGGGAGGTGCATGGTTTGCTCCGCACAAATTAACTGACGATCAAAAATTGCACAGAATACGTCTCATTGAACGACGCTTGTTACCGAATATTTGATCAAAAATCACATTTTAACCATTAAGCACTCTCCATATTCACCTGATATGGCACAGTCCGACTTCTTCCGCTCGGAAAAATGCATTCAAAATTCGTGCACCGGCATACTGGCGGCCAACGAGCAAGCACTCGTTCGACATGCTTTTTGACCGTGCAAAAAGCTGTATCGAAGCAGAAGGAGTCTATTTTGAATAAAATAAATTCATTTTGCCGAAAAAACCATCTTTTTTTTTTAAGTCCTGTTTACTTTGAAACGCTCCTTGTATATACATATGTAAGCATACTCGTTAACTCACACTGTTATCTTTACAAATTATGATAATATTTATAAATTTCGGCGCATGAAGTTAAAGTTTTCCGAAATTTATTTAAATATATGCAAAATAAAATATTCTCGCTGTCAGCTGCATGGCACACTCAAATAAGTATATGTGAGTACATATGTATATACTTTAAAGCCTCTACATGAATCCTTAAGAAAATGTCTACAAGATAATCAAATAAGCTCACAATCTCTTTAAAGCATTACCCATATTATCATAAACGTTCAGCAATAAATCTGTGCATTATGCAACATATATAGTATATACATACATATTTAACATTAATTTATGTGCTTACACAAATACACAGCTACAATCGTACATTCGTGTTGCTGTAGATTGCTCTCATTTATGGCCAAACATTTTTGTTTGATCATCGGCTTAGTGGAAATGCCAAGTCACCTGTTCCTTTGTCGCATATCAGCCGCATTTAATCTATATTTATTATTAACCAACAGCAGCACGACTGTCAGCATCAGCAATGACAGCCAATTAGGGTATATCGAATGACTGCTATGCAAGAATAAGCAATCAAGTTAAGCTAAATCCAAATGTAAACACAAATAAAACACCATTTTTTTTACGTTCTTTATTAAATTTTGCATTTTGAGACTTTAGAATACCGCTGTGGGGGATAAAACAATTTGACTGCGTGCAAGGCTTTGATTTCATACCATTACTGCAACTTAGCACTTGAACTCAGCACTAAAGCAATAATCGTAATGCGTGAAGTCTTACTGGAGCGAAACTTGGCGTTAGTTTTTTTATCTCCATTTGAAATATTGTTTCTTCTTTGCATCTACCACTAATTTGGGGCAGCCACGCCGAGCTTCTACTCGCTAACTTGCTCGCCTGGTGAATCACTACAATATAATTGCTCGTAATAGTGACATAGCACTCTCTTTTGGAAACTCTCTTCTCATTCTCTTAGCTCTCTTTCTCGTGCGGAGCTCAAACCTGTAAGATACAAAATTTTATAAAACTTAGTTGCAGTTCCTTAATACTACTGTTGCGATTACATATTCACAACGGACTCATCCCGGCTTCATAGCTCAGATCATCGCTTGATAGTATTTCCATGCAATATATCACACTGATTGTGAAAATTCATAGGAAAATCTGTAACACTAAACACGAAAAACACTGAGAGCAAAAAAAAAAAAACGGGGAGGAAAGCAAAACTCTGTACTATTTTCCTAGAAAAGCTTTCATTGTTCTTTAGCACCGAGACCACGCACTAGTGTACACAGAATGCATACATGCGAACACGAATATAAGTACTTCGAGACATCAACCTTTGCATATTCGATTTTACCGTTATTTCCGTGTATATGATTCAAAGTTCTTGGAAATGCGAGTAGTGATTATTTCTAAAGAAGAAGGTTGAAAAAATCCAACCCATAGACAACTATTTAACAGAATAACAAATTTCTAAACAAATCTTATTTCATAATGATTTCTTTTCTCTTTCACATGCACAACAATAAATGGTTTGACAATAACAAAAAACGTTTGTCGGATAATACGTGTGCTGTCATTGACATTCGCGCGCGCTTCACTGGCTTTCTGCATCGATGCTGGTGGATTTGTCACGTTGCCTTTGTTTCTCAATGACGCCGCCTTCTGCGATACCGACGCTGACACTTTGCATCGTTGATATTCAACTGGCAAATACAGACCGGCTCATTAATCATTGAATCAGCGAAAAAACGTGATAATGGCAATTACACATGTAGCCCGTCAAATAGCCCCAGTGTGACTGTGATGCTCAACGTTATAAATGGTGAGTACGTGGGGTTGGTTAAATGTAAAAGCGAATCAGCAAAACTTAAACAAACGAAGTGTAAATGAATACTTTCTCTCTTTTACTTACAAATATATATTTTTTATATTATTCGCGTACTTGCTTGCTCATCCTTCAACGTTGGTGATCAACTTTTGTCCTTGCAAGCAGTTTGTCGCTGATTTTTTTAGTTCTTAATCTGGACTCTGTTTCGCTGATAACAGTTTTGTGTCTAAGCATTAGTCAATCACTTGTGAATGATTGTGAAAAGCATATATTGTTTACGTAATAAAGTTTGATGAGTGATTCAAAACATGCATGATTTCCAGGCAAGAGTAAGAATGCTTTTAACCGCAGTATTATATATAGAAAAAGATTAAGAATATGAAGAATATTATTGTGCGTTTTCTTTTTCAAAGTCGCGCTTAGATATACGATAGAGGCATGTCCAGATCTTTCATCCGATTTTTGGTTTATAATGAACCGCGTACGAAACGTCTGAAATCTCTCCCTTTCTCTCCCTTTAATATGCATAAGAGTGGCTTTTTTCCTTCATTTTAGAATAACTCTAGACTTTTAGGGAATTTCTTCTCAATTTCTATTCCTAGTATACAGATTATTAGAGCTTTGATTATCCTCCAGCTGCGCAGATAATATTTACTTTGTTCAAACACCCCCAGCCCAATGTGTTTTCCAATAATTAGCAGACATATCCAAAGGTTGATTGTAACAGTCTTTTCCCGAGGACCACATGAGCTTGGCCCATCTGCAGCAGCTTGAAATAATCTGGCGCTCATAGAGAACTATATTTGCTTAAATTATGCCCCAGTTTTCAAATATATATGATAATTGATAAAAGGAAAATTACCCCTATTGGGCTACCTGTCAAAAAGCTTATACGAAGCTTTATACGAAAAGTCCCTTATGTTTGGCTTAGTTGTGAATTTGATTTTCGGAACAAATATGAAAGGTAATTGACTTTTCTTAGACTTATGCACTCATGAGAGGCTATACTATAATAAAGAAGGACTACAAACAAGACAATTTCAGTGATTTTATACCAGGAAGCAGCATCGATCGAAGTATAAGATTTAGAGCTGATCCAAACCAATGTTCTAAACGCTCAACCACAGCAAGCATATCGTCACGAATCGTGTGCTATTTAATGTGTTAGGCTTCATATGTCTTAAGCCGGCTACATTTTGATATATTGTAAATAGAGAACAGCAGATTTGCAAGCTGTAGCAAGACCGAACTCCAACAATTTTGATACTAAGTTACTAACGGCATTCTATAGATTAGACAGTAATGCACCTTTTGTGTTTCGAATTATACTTTTTTATACTCTCTGCCGCCCTTTAGTGCATCTCTTTGCGATTTTGATTTGCTATGACTTCCTGTTTACAATTTCACTTGGTAATCAGGCAATTACTTTAATAGAATGCCTCATCAATCCAGATAAATAACGCATCCGCTTGCCAACATTTGCATTTGCTGTGTTATTCCTTAATGCTTTGTGTGTTTATTTTTATTATCTGCGTGTCTGTTCCTTCTCTGCGCCGCTCACGAAGTCGTAGGTTGTCATATTGTTAATTCTGTGATAATATTCGCGCAATTTATTTCCACACTTGCGTGTGGCGCTCATCTGCTGCGCTCTCGGGCACTCTAGTCATCAAGTCTTACAGCCTGAAGTGGCAAAAAATCAACATCACAGAAATGGTAATTTGACGCGTGTACCACGAACGCGTCAAAGGATATGACAACAAGTCGTGAGGTTATGTTTACCAACAAAGCCTACCTACCGAGTATACGCCGGAATAGTGATGCCAGCAAATCAGTAAAGATTTAGCTGATAAACCCAATCCCTCATAAAATGTATGTAGGATTGTTGCTGCGTAGTGTCGCTATCTGCGTGGTAGCTGGCGCTGTAGCTGTCGAGAATGCACAAACATTTGCGCTTAAATTAGGAATTTGTTTGCTTGGCGCACATTAATGATTAATTCTTTGCATTCATTACAGCATGCCGGCAGTGTATAGCTGAGGTGCTAGGAGTGGCAGTAGCTTCTAGCAAACCGGCATTCATAGTCACAAATTCACAACCTACAGTTTATTATAGACCCACACAATCCATAAAAATAGTGTACTGAAGGAATAGTCACAATTTGCTCGTAGATGTCTGTTCTGGGCAGCGGGTGATGTGTGCGCCCCGGGCTACGAGCTGTTACAATCTGGGGAAATGTTTACGTGCCGGATATGAAAACGTACTAGCATAAAAGACAGATTAAGCATATTAAGTGGAATGAAAGCACCGGCACGTTAAACCAACTGGGAGTATTAAATATATCCCAGTCTATATATATATAAACGGTGGCAGAAATATACACATATCTTAAATGAAGGATATTATTAGATGACCATAAAGCCGCAATATGATAGCGCTAGATCCACAAAAGAGGCTTGACTCTAAAAATTTTTCCGTAACAATCAGTTCAATTAGCTGCCGTAGACTTAAGTCAAATTGATTTTGATTTTTATAAAACATATTCGAGTTTATCAAAGCTCTCTTTGAAACTTTCTTTAAGTTTTAGCGTAAAGGAATGCCAACATAGTATCTAAAATAGCTTCATCAGACGAAACCGAGTGATTTCACTTGGCGTTATCAAGTTATTAGCTTCGTTTGTAAGCAAAATAGCTGAAAAACTGAACAGGCTATACATGCTTGGTTGATAAAAGTCTGCGGTTGGTGGAACGAATTCTTCCGCCTCAAAAACTTGCATCTGAATTTTTGTACCGGCACATGTATCAGAAAGCAATCGCGACTCGATTATGACTCTGAGGTAAAAATTATATACAATCTTTGACGGGTCTCAGACTTTTTCTCTTGGGTATTTCCAAAAATACGTCAAACTGCTGAGGTTCCGGAAAGATCATTTATATGTGAACACCGGATTGATAAATCAGTTTCCATAATCGGTTATTATGCATTAGAACATTTGGCGATAGTCAGAAGTGTCCGCAAAAGTACGGAACAGCAAGTTGCAGTAGTTGTCTTTTAATATAGGTATAATTTTTATTTTAAAATCTATTTGTAGAAATTGGTATGCTTTCTATGTTGCTGGGACATCGAAAAATGTAGAAATCGTCAATCAAAGCGCCACAATCAAATTGTCTGCCATCGGCGCCACATGTCGGCATTTACATATGTACGCATTTATTTCCTTACCTACACACACATATATATGTACGTATATGTTGTGCACAACCATACATATATTATAAATGACAAGCAATATGCTTGGAAAAGCTGCAAATTCGTTGTTTGACAACCGAAAGCGCAGAATGTCGAAAGCCAACTGTCAGCACTCACAAACATACCAGTTGTTGGTTGAAATGTGGCAATTTTGGTGCTTTCAAATATTTTTGCAAGCTCTATAATATACAAATGGGTTTTGAAGTGTATGCGCATACACGTGTGGGTGATGCAAATAAATCTACAATAGTATAAAATTTAATTTGATTTCCTTTCCACAAAAAGCTGTATTGAAAAAATGTTCATTGTACCGTTTTCAATTGATCTATTCTCGAAATTGTCCTATTTCCCTTTGCTGTCTGCAGCCGTGCTGACTTGCTTACCCAAAGCCACATACCTATATAAGTAAATACAAGAACACACATATACATATATAAGTAAATACATGCTTTTGCAATCAAGAATTACATACAACTATTTTTATTGCTAACGATGGGCATATAAATTAGTTGCTTGCTTAGAATGTTGTATGCAACATTCATCGTGTCGACAAGCACTTTTAATTTCTCCAACTTTTTGTTTTAATTCGATTGTTTTCTGGAAGTCATGCTTATCGCTGCAATTTCGCAAATTTGTTTACCACATTCATTTGCAAATCGCTCCGGTTTAACAGTTTTCTAATTCTCTCATTCCTTATTGTAATGTTGACATTTTTGGTGTACAATTTCAATTCACATTTCATAGGTTTTATTTAGAAATGTCAATAGAAATTGGTCAGTTCGAAATGAAATTTGGAACTCCACAGAAATTTCATTACATTTCAGGTCACAGCGTTGAGTGAGTTCAAGATTTTAATTAATTTATGTGAAAATATATATGTTGCATTCATTTTTTTTTTTCAATTCTTTGGGGTGCAAAACATTTCGCAAAAATATGTTATTAAATTGCATTTTCAGCATTTGATTTTTCGTCTGTGAATTGTATAGATATTCAAATTAATTTCAATGACATTTTACATTAAACCTAATTGGAGTATGCAAGGTATTTTCATGAGCAGTTGTGTATAGATAACAACTTGACTTAGCTTGACTTGACTTAACTTTTTTTATTTTATTTTATTTTATTTTATTTTATTAAAGCTTACATAATAAACAAATTAATAAATAAACTAAAGTGCTTAACTTAATCTATTGTAATTAAGATATACTTAACTTAACTTAACTTCGCTAGATTATAATTATGAAAATGTTAATATCCGCCTCAGAACCATACCTTTTATTCTCTTACGCTTTTTTGATTTTGATTCTGAGCATAAATTCTTATCACAAACTCCTTTACGGAAGTTACAATATATGAGTACGCTGATTTCTTTTATTTGTTTTAAAAAGGTAATCTTAAATATTTCGTTCTTGGTAGTATTCAGTACGGACTATAAATAATCGATGGTGCAAATGTCCCCAAAAAGCGAATTTACTTCATTTTGAAGTCATGACAGATAATTATGTGTCCGCTGTGTGTCTGACCGATTCGCAAAAGGTCTAGTTCAATATTATTTTGAATTCTTTTTCTTTAAGCTAAAGATATTGATGCAAAACCAATAAACCCAGCCGATTACCTCAAGAACGTATTTCATATTTCAAAGATCCTTTGTGGTATTATAGCTTAATTGAAGACAGTTAAGAGAACGAAGTGGTGACAGACGTTTGCATATTTAAGCAGCGACGACAGCATAGTGAAGAAGGTGGAAAGAATAGAACTCCATATTTGTGTAAAATTGTATTTTTGTATTTTGATTTTTTCTAAAAAAAGCGGAACTCTTTCAAATTTTCAACATTAAAAATAAAATTGGTTACCAAACACACCAAATATTTCACGACGTATTCAATTGCGTAGAGTTGATGCCACTCGAGTTTTCAAATCGCACTATTTGCCAGGACAATCAGTGCAATCCAACTCATATGAAGACAGCTGGGCCGATTGGGCAAATGCCCGGAACTGCAAGAGTTCATAGAACCGGCTAGTAGCTGGCGCACAAAAAACTTCGCTGCTTCCGAGTTGAATGGCTGTCGTTGCTGTGTGCAGATACTGATATAAAAATAAATACATATTTATGTATATAAGTACATTTATTTGCTGAAACGCTTGTAATGCTATTCACCTGTGAAAACTCTGTATACAACTGCAAATGCTGAGATAATTGTAGTAAGAAGCGGATAAGTGAATGAGCGAATGAATGAAAACACTTAATGGTACTGAGTGGAATTTAGTACGGGAAATTGCCACAGCCATAGACTAGCTGCTCAGCTAGAAAAAAGGCACCATTTAATAAATGAATGAATGAACGGCGAAAATAAATGTCGAAAAGAGATGTGTAAAAATCACAACTAATTAACCGACAAGTACTAGCATATTTATGCAATCAAGCCGAGCTAACGACGACTGTCGCTCAATTTGTGCTAAATGTTTGCACAAGCACAGCTAAATGCCAGCACTTATTAGCAGTGCATGTGCACATACATGTAATGTAGGTAAGTACACACGTAAGCTGACTCTCGACATGCGCCATTCAGCGTGGGTTTCTTTCAAATGCAATTGAGAAGAAAAATTGCGACTACTTTACCTCAATTAATAAATTGTGCATAATATATATTTTAATTTGTTTGCCTATTCGTAAACGTCGCAAACATCGCTCACGGCAACGTTGAATGTACTGTTGCGTGTGCTACTACAGTATATTACCACCGCCGCCTGCAGTCGCCCGCGGACAGTCCCATATACGCGTATACGTTGTGCCTGCCAATTGAAATGTCGACAGCGAAGTTGCTCATACGACACGGTGCGCCACTAGGCAAATGTCAGCGCTAAAGCCTCACAAGCTGCAATTGCCGGTTTACACACCTGCGGCGTAATCGTTTGCAAATCACTGCCTGCCAAATGCTGTACGAGCTGCCAATTGAGCTGCCCGTTGTAGACGTTAACTACTAAGTCTGGTTGCGACTCCACTGTACACCGTCGTCAGTATGCTTGTTTTAAAGCTGGTACAAGTGGTGAATTTATTTGAAAATGCTATTATATGTTTGTGTATTTGTGGACGTAATTATGTTTTTTTTTCAGGCTTCAGCTAATTCTTACTTGGAATGCAATTCATTTAGGCAATCACAATAGAATAGTTTCTCTAAATATTTCAATGCAAAGCAAAGTTTCTCTAACTAAAGTGCAAGAATTTGGCACAACATGTTCCGCTTCAGGAATCTACTAAATATGTAATATGTAAATATGTGCCATGCACTTTAAAGTGGGTCAAATGTAGTTAGTTTCAGCAGCTTCGTCGAGAAAAAGCTATGAATCTTGCCACGCGAAAGAACATAGCACTTTTTAGCAACTAAATTCAAATAAGCTTAGGCAATTAGTTGAGGAAGCGCCATTTAAAATTCAATACATCGATTTAATGGTTCTATAAGCACATGATTGTTGTTGTTATACAATTCTGGCAGGCGAGTTTTCTGCCTGATTAGCATATGAGTTAATTGACATCTCTAAAATGTGTGTATATGAGTACTCATAAGCAGAAATATTACAACAGCATATATGGTAGCTTGTATGACTTTCTGCAGGAACATAAATTTAACACCGAAAGAAATTGCAGAGAACTTTGTATGTATATAATAAACAAATCCATTCATTTTATTAATTTTCATGGAAATTCGACACAAAACGACGACTGTGAGAGTTTGCTTAAACTTTTGACTTCTTATCCGAATTTTTATATCTCTTTTGATCGGGTCACATTTCTGACAGTATCAGAAAGATTATTTTTAAAAGAATTGTCATAAATATTTTTGAAAATACTGTCATTTGACAGTTCTCGGCTTAGTTTAAGAAAGGTGAACACGGAAATGTGACAAAAAGACAGATCTTCATTATCGCTTAAATTGCAAAAGAAACTATCGTATAATCAATTAATTTTCAAGCCGCTATGTCTGAATTTGGTATCCCACTAATACGGCTGTGTAAACTGACGTTGATCAATACCAAAAGCTCCATCAGAATCGGTAAGGATCTTTTCGGGCCGTTCGTAACCGAACAAGATTGCAGGCATCGCGATTCTTCTTCTCTCGTCGAACAAAGATCAAATTCCACAAGTCACAGATGGTGCAGAAGCATGAACGATGACAATGTTTGATGAGTCCATGTAACGAATTTTCGAGATGAGGGTTCTGCAGAAGATTTATGATTCTTTGCGCATTGGCCACGGCGAATGCCACATTCGATGGAATGATGAGTTGAAATAAACGATCACATTGACATAGTTTAGCGACTCAAGAGGCAGTGGCTACGCATACTAGTATTGATAGTATTCGATTCAGTACGCACCGGTGGAAGAAAAAAAAGAGGAAGATCTCCACTTCGTTAGAAAGACCAGGGCGAGACGGACCTGGCTAAACTTGCAATGCCAAATTGGCGCCAAACAGCGAAAAGATAGAACGACTGGCGAGCTGTTGTAAACTCGGCTATAACCGCGTAAGCGTTGCCAACGCTAATAGAAGGTGAAAATAAACAAATGAATAGAAGCTATATTCTCTTCTTGAGTATATTTAAAATTTTTGTAGAAAGCTCATGTTCAGAGATCGATGAAAATCGTGAAAATTGCTTTAACGTGACAAACTTCATACCAACGAATTACCAGATAATAATTAGGAGAACTGCGTTAGAAATGATATTTTGGCTACCAATAAAATACACGCAAAGTCCCGCGACACGCACTTATAGCTGAACCCTAATAAGCAGCACTCTTTTACGGTGCAGTCTAAATTACCAAGCATAGTTCGGTTTTCATACTTATTGCATGCCACTTTGTGTACTGTTCCAGTTTACACACCCAAATCTGAAATCTAAGTTACACCAATCGTCCCTGGAGCGACACACGTTCGCCAATGCTCAAATTACTTTCGTGGCGCTGCAGTCCAAATTACATAGAGTCTGCGCAAAAAGTAGGTCAACAACCACGATATGCGGCAGTAGTGGCCGTAATTGTAATAAAAAAAAATCCATTGAAGTTGGCCTTTCACCGCTTTTTATGGTTAGCCAATTTTCCTCTCGATTTCCCGAAAATGCATACAAGCATTTCCATATGGCTGAGTCTGTGTTTGCAATGTTTTGTGAAACTGAGAGAAAATGAAATTGCCAACAATTACTGTTAATTAGCGACGAATTGAGCTGATAATGAACGTAGCAAACATTTGTGTTCCGTTTTTTCAGCTTCGTTATTACAGTTATCTGTCGCTTTGTTTCGTTCGGTTGCTCAATTCTTGTTTTCGAATTTTTTCGCTTCCAGCTTCCGGCTCTAGCTGCACACTGCTACTTTAAAGACCACACTAGTTAACGAAGCACGTTTAATTTTCTGCAATTTTGCCGAAATTGTTCTTGGTTTTCTGTAATCTTTTGTTTTGGTGAAAAAGTTCTGTTCGAAAAATGCGTTCAGTCGCCATTATAACAGTTTTACCTTTGCGCGGCGGCAAAGTACTCATTATCTCTACTACCTAATCGAAATATAATTAATTTTAATGTCAACCCAGTTTTGCGCTCGAGTCTCTACAATTGAATTCACCGCATTCAATTAGCAAATCAGCATTTTTACACTTTTATGCATATTTTAGAATTGTTGCAATGGGTTAACCAATGCATAAATTATTTATTTAATTTCTTCTGCCATTTGCATATGTTTAGTTGCACATTCAAACACTTGCAGCACGTGATTTGCCACCGTGCGCAGCGCTATATACACCATTATGTATATGTTTGTGTATTTATGCACTTATACATTGCCATTCATTTGGTTCTGCATGAATTTATCGTAATTTATTTGAAAATTCACGAGCTTTTCTTGTTTTTTAATTTTTTTTGCGCTGCCTGAGGCTAACCATGTCGTTAGCTGTCAATTCCACTGTTAAATGTGGTCGCCGTCAATATTTGTTCATTGAAATCTCATAGCGCATTGCCACATTTCATTATATTTTCAATTAATCCTAAATTGCACGTTTTATCGCTGAAATTGTCAATTATTAGTGGGGCTTTGAGTATGCGGCGGTTTTAAAATTAAAAATTAAATAGAATATATTTCATAAATTTCAATGAAGTCATAATAAAAACAGTGACAGCGGAGTTAATAGCTTGTGAAATGCTTTGTAGATAACAAATGGGTATACATTAGTTACCGTTTGGCTACTAAAAATAACATTTTATATTAGCATGAATTCTATGATTTATATATAAAAATATTTATTTAGATATATTTGGTCTTTTTTCATTCAAAGTTGAATTTTAAATCCTAGTGTCTTTAAAAAAATATTGAACGTCGAATAGCTTAGGTTTGCAGAACATACAATTTTATAGTTTCTACAGAGCAAAGAAAGAAAAGCGTAGGGCATATACTTCCTTGTAAGCCTAAGTTATTTCCATATTATGAATTTCAAAAATTTCATTTCTTATATATATTGGGTAGTCGCAGAGATTTCTGTCTAGAATCACTTGTCGTCCTCACACAGCTGTTTATCTATGTGATTATGGAATGTTGCTGATAAAAAACTCGTGAATACATAATTTAATATATGGACATTTACAACAGCTCAACGCGCTTTCTACTTGCACACATTTTATATTATATATTCCACGCTTTCTTTTACCTCTCTTTTATTCTCCTTTTCACAGGTGAATCATCCGCATCAGCTGTCACTTCATCCGCTCCAGTACGAAAAGCGTACACAGCCTGCATACTGGCCATGCTCTGCAGTATCGTTATAATTGGCGGACACAACACATGACATGTTAATTTGCAAAAGCAACAAAAACAGCAACAACGCGACAATGAAGATGAGAAACAAAAGCGCATAAAGCAAAATAAATCAATACAGATTGTACGCACGCAAAACAGGATGACAATGAAAAGTTGCACAAAGAGCAATTTGTGCGCACAACAACACTCGACTAAAATAAAAGAAACATTGCTGCAACAACAACAAAAACAACAACAACTGTGCGGTGCAGTACATTAAGGCGGCAAACAAAAAACTAAAATGATTTCTTCTTTAACTTGTAAGTTTATATAGGCAACCGTATCCATAGATATTAGATGCAAGAACAAAAAGAACAACACATAGACTTATGTGCGTACAACAAGCGGCGGCTAAGCAAACAACAACAAAAAACAAACAAAAACACACAACAAGCAGTAAAAGAAATAAAGAATCGAGTAGGCTAAGGACTAAGCTGCAATTGTTGTAGCTGTTGTTGTTGTTGTAGCGGAGTGAAAAAACCCGCAAAGCAGCAAATAAGGCACACAAGAAACAGCAGAAAAGCATGCCAACAACAGGATGTAGGCACAAACATACGTACGCTTAAGCAACAACAATACACATACACACAAATATACCGACATACACACACACACACGCGCGCGTTCAGCCAAAAAAAAAACATACACACGCATACAGTGTCATAAACAAATGTAGTGGCAATTGAAACGTTAGAGGTGCACAAATACACACCCGCACTGGTACATTTGTGTGCGTGCTGCACGGCCCGAGAATTAGTGTTACTCATACGACGCGTACGTCCCCGGCAGCAAACACCTGCTGACACGTGCGTGCGGCGTGTTATCTTACAAGCGTGCGCCTGGCATTTGCCGTTAAGCGCTTACAGCCCACAACAAGAAGCCGCAGTGACAAACACAAACAAACATTGGAAATCTCGCATACACCTCACACATACACACAATCACACAGGCAACACAAAAGGCAAAAAGGCATAACATTAGCAAAAGTTAACTAAGCTAGGTAAATGTAAGTATACCGTTAAGTACGTGCAAATGTATTCATAACAGCAAAAACAAACTGACAAGTTCATATGTATGTATGTGTTCAGCATTGTAAGAACCAACTGGGTTTGTTTCGGCAGTTGCGACAAATTTTGCTGGACTTCACCAGGAGATCTTCATTATAGCGGCTGCCGATTTTTTGTATATGATTGTATTTATTGCATTTAACTTTAATTACAAATACATATGTAAATTTAGTTTTATAGATTTTCTATGCAAAAATCACTGTGCTAAATTTGAAATATGGTATCAGCAAAAACAAGTCAAATAATAATAAACCAAACAAAACAATAATGTGTATTTAAGCAACTTCTATTTCAGACTTAGGTAAGTTTACAAAATAAAAACAACAAAAAATACCATGCAATTTATTATAAACCATGGAAAAGTTATTTAAATGAGAACCGCTACTAAGATAAAAAAAGAGAACAAAACTAACACTTCAGTCAAATATGAAATTAAATATGCATACACATATGAAAAAAATGGAAAATATGTTAGTAAATAATGTTAGTAAGCGAAAAAATAAACAAAAACTACTTGAATGTAGCATTAGCTTATGAGTGCATAGAATAATTTTATTTAAAATATGAAAAATCTCGCAGTTGTGTAAATAAGCGTAATTTTAATAAAAATAAATAAGTGAAATTAAAAACGAAAAAAAAATTGAATTAGATGGCAACAACATAAGCTGCAAGTAAATAGTTGTATCTGCAATTTACACTCTACCTTAATGAATTGTTCAACGCGGCATTGTCTGCTCTCCCTAACTCCCTCACCAACATACACAAAGCCACACGCGAAGTCTAATGTTTGCAGGCAGTACAGTAAACTATGAGAAAATAAACACTATATAATTTATGAAAATATGCAAAATTTTTCTTTGCAAGTTTGTGCAACATAATTTATATGTCATGTTATATAATTTTTACTTTTTGCTAAAAAAATTTCTTTTCAGCAACAATTCATTTTGAATAAAAAAAAAAAAAACGAAAGGAATTATTTTTTGCTAACACCACTGATATAATAATTATCTCTTGGTATAATAAATAACTCATGACACACAATATACAACTATTAACGACAATATTATCTTTTCATTTACAAGTTAATTTAGAAAAATGCAGAATTACTTTTTGTAGGAACCCCCGAAATAATAAATATTGCATGACATAAAATACTGCCAAAAATATTTTCTTCACATTTTAAAGTTAATTTAGAAAATTGTTTATTTTTTGTAGACACTACTAATACATATAAGAAGTATATATAAATATCGCATGACATACAATTTCAGCTATAATTAATTTAGAAAAACAGTAGGTTATTTTTTGTAGGGACGACAATTTAAAAATTATTTCATGACTAAAAATTTTCAAGTTTTGTTAACAATATTTTTAGAAAAATACATTGCGATTACGGTGTCTGTTATTTTTTTCAATTTTTTAACAATATTTTCTTGCTCCTTTAAAAGTTATTTAAAGAAAAAATTTAGTATTTTGTTTAGCAACCACTGAACCACTGTTACAATAATTATCTCATGAATTATCTCACAAAATTTTTAACCACTGTTACAATAATTATCTCATGAATTATCTCACTTTTTAACTTTTGTTAACAATATTTTCTTTTCAGCTATAATTAATTTTGAAAGACACAGCACTATTTTCTATGCAATACTAATGCAATATTTATCTCATGATATTTTTTCTCATTTTTCAAAAAAAAAATTTTACAAAAAAATGGAAAATTTTTTCCTTTACAAATCATCGCATGATATAATTCTTTCATATTTCGAAAGAAATTTAACAGAAAAATTATTAAGAAAAATGGAAAAGTTTTTCCTTTACAAATCATCGCATGATATAATTTTTTTAATTTTATCGCTAATGTATATTCAATTATTTATAGTGTTTTTAGAATAGCTTACATCTCATATCATATGATTTTGAATTTTTGATATACACCGCAAGCAGTTTACTCTCAAGTCCTACTCACATTCGCTCACAAATAAAAGTTCAGTTCGCATCGACAGACACTTCTTACTTTCGTGGAGGATATATGATACTAATACACTTCAGTAAATTTTACAATTTTTTCAATATATCATATTTCTTTAACCAAATAGCAATAGCGAGAAATGTAGCGCTTTTTTCAGTAATAATATTACTACTAAGCAACAGACTTTTTCAATGTAATATTTTGTTTTGCAAGAACAAATCCGCTGTTTCAAGCTCTATACCTTAATAAAGTGAAAGTTTATACTAAGAAATTTTAATGTTTTCTCTTAGCTGCCGCACACCTCTCTCTGTGTAAGTGGTGATAATTTGGAGCAGAGCCACAACATTTCTCTGCTTTTGTCTACAGCTGGCGCACTACAAATTAGGTTAAGTGAGGAATATAACATTTTTTATAAATCTTCTGCAACCTATCTCACTGTATTTTATATTAGCAGTCCCTTGTTTTAATACAATTTGCCTAGAACTTCACTTAAACTTATTTTTTATTCTAATGCCAGTCTCAGCTCTGAAATAAGTGAAATAAATTTAAAATCTAGTAGAATTTTAATTTAATGATTCTTGTTGTCATAGATGTATACACACAATGTGCGGTTACACAACATAAACAAGACAAATTAACCGCAATTACTTAACCAATTCAGCAGAATTGTGCTTGTTTGTTTTTATGTATGTATATATACCACATAGAATATATGCAAAGTTAGTTAAAGTGAGATTGAATATATACTTACATATATACTCTTAACCAGCCGGCATTTCGCATGAAAGCGACATATACATATATACATACTTAAAAAAATTCACGCAGCCATACCAAGCAAATACCTGACATTTGACAAATGACACAAATTTTGTGATTTCGTAAAATTTGCATTTAAACTATCGCGCACAAGGAAGCTACACGAAGTTTCAGTTATTGAATCTTACCCTCATTCATCATATATTTTTGCAATTCGCAAATAAATTTTCAACAGCAACAATTTTGCTTAGAAGACACACAAACAACCACACGAATTGAAAAACAAATCAAAACTACCCAAAACACTTATTTGTGTACATAGAAATTTTCACGTAACAGTAAATTCTCCAAAGTCAAATAATGCCACCAAAAACAAAAAAAACCCCAGAACTAAAGTCCGCATTGTCTCTCAATAGAAAGATACTGAGAAATAGCCATAGAAATGAAGAAAAATTTATTCCATATACATACATATTTACCGTAAATAAGTAGAGGTAAATTAAATAATAATAATTGTAACTAGAATATTTGAAAATAAATTTTGTAAAATAATTTTAGAACTTCTAATGCATTCAATATACTTAAGTATTTAGCTGTTAAGCCTTTTCTTGGAGAATGAGGTACGATATGAATTTTTCGCGGTGTTTTGGAACAAGGTTTGAAGAAAACTACAACAGATTTAACGAATTGTAATTGGAGCAACAATGTTTACATATTTATATAGTTTTAATTTTGAGTTCCACTATTATTCCTTTAAATATTTGCTTTCAACTTTTGCAAAATAGTTTACTCTTAAGGCGTAAAAAACTCATTTTGTGGAAGAAAGTGTAAAATTTTGATAAATATTCTCACTTCGAGTGCGAAGCACTAATAAGAGCGCTGAGGACCACTTCTTTTTCCTCTTAAAATAATTTAAAATAAACTAAAATAATTTGATCGAAATTGCAGGGTAACTTGGCAGTGATCTTGAATCTGCTCAATGTTCAAATAATCAGCATTGAATGCATTAAAAATTATTTGAAGTTCTTAAATATTATATTTAACAATAAGATCAGCCGTTTCGCCTACTTATTGTGAATGACTGAGCCAACATCTACACAACACTAGATACACTTGATGAAAATGTCACTTATGGCATATAAAGCGGGTTTTTACATTTCTATCGCAGTTAACACATGAGCTACTAATATTTTTAAAAATAATTGATAAAGTATACACCTAATTTTCTTCTGCTTTTTAGCGTAGACATACTGGTTACAGCCGGCTCAACTTTGTCTAACTAAAATGCTTCCCTTTGTGCTTGAAAGAGCTCAACATTGCATCCAGCAAATCTTCTACATTTAAAAACAAAATAAACTTTCATTCAGATTAAAATTTTCAACAGAAAAATGCTGAATATCGGAGCTTTCTCTCTCCTTAGTGTCTAATGCAGCACAATTGTTGTAAATAAAATCGGTACACTTACTTTCCTTGCAGCGCTTGTTCAAGGCAATATAATTTCTATCACTTCTTTCTTGACTCGTACTATTTCTTCTACATGTATTTTCCTATAATAATCATAATTTCTGAACATTTCGCTCTATTTTCGAAAAAGTTGCGATAATTTTCCAAATACTTGACAACATCATATATTACCTCATAGTCCAAGCCAAAAACCCAAATTGAGCATTAACTGTAAAAATCGTGAACTTTTAGCCCTAAGTTACGCAGGAATATAAAATCAAAATATTACAAATAAACAGGAAGCTATACATATATACAATAAAAGCAGTTTAAAAAAATCTACTGATAGTGTTGAAGACTGAGCTGCTTGCTAAAATTCGACTTGGTCAAAACCAATAACGCTGCTACAAATCAGAGGCAGAGGCAATGCTTCAGTGAAATGAAAGTTAAGCGCCACCTAAGCCTAAGTGAAATGAGTAGCAGGCGAAAATGTTAACTAAGTATATATGCATGTTTGTATTTCTCCATTTATTTTATACTGCTGTGTTATCTGCGTATATTAGTACAGTTACGGTAAATAGCCAAGCACAAGTCTTTAACATATTCACGAAATATTCATGGAATTTTACAATAAAAGCATACGTATGTACCACTCCATATACTATTTACATATAATATATATAACTAATAATGGAGATACTTTAAAATATTGTAAATATTAAACTAAATGAAAACAAAAGCGTCAACAAGAACAAAAACTATTGCATAAGGACTGTGTGGCTAAATTTCATGGTCGACTAAAATATAATCAAATAAAATAATGAATAATAAATAAAGAATACATAAGTGTATGGTATGTATGTACAATTCCAATAAAACATTCAATAAATGATGCAATTAAATTGAATCAATATAAAAAAGACTATTGTGTGTACTTTTTCATTGCGAAAAATATGGGAAATATTTTCGGCTATTTGGCTAGTATTTATAGTAAGCAATTGCTCTGCATATTTTTTTAGATTTATCTAGGTCATTGTGCGCAATCTGCAATAAAATGTGCGACTGGCGATGCAGCAGTGGTTATGTACAGCTCCCCATACTTAATATGCTGGCATAGTAGGTAAAAGACTTCTTGAATATGTCGATAACTAGAAAGAAATGTTTGGGATTGTGTTGACCTATTCAACAGTGCA